GAGATAGAGAAAGAGAGGGCAGCTGTTGTATTGTGGAGAGGTCCACCTCTACAATAAACTCATCAGACGGGGAAACTTGTAGAATAAAACACATCTTTTTCTTTCAGCAACCAATGCTCTTTTTATTAAAATTTAAATATGTAAGTGAAGTATATAGTTTCTGAGCCACTAGCAAATTCAAATAAATTGCAAAGCAAAATGACTGTTTTCAAACTGGTTTTCAGGTTTGATTCTTCTACTTCTTATTGTATCCAAAACAATCCAGGCTCATTGGAAATACAAGACTCTGACTTAATTTCTGTAAAAATGCGAGAGAAAAAAACTTACATACAGTTCACTGCAGTTTCCAGGTGGTACACCAGAGGCAGTTCTTATTCACACAAATAATTATTACTGTAGGCAGTGTTACATACTTCCAATGAGACTGGGTTTGTCAAACAGCAGAAATTAAGCAATAATTAAAAAACAGTGTTGCATATTGGTTATTGGACAAGTAAAAGTATATATATATGGGTATTATGACCGGCCTCCGTCAGATTATTTATGAGTGGGGTTGTAATTGAACACTGCAAATCCTACAGCTTTGAGTTATGGATGAACAGGAGAGGGCGTTCGCAAGTGTTCTCCATATGCTCCTCTCTCTCGCTCGCTCTTCACAAACTTTACAGATTCATACCAGCTTATTTACATACACAGGGAATTCCAATTACGGATGTGAAATCTGTAGCCAAAATGGGAAATTTAACATCTCAGAGGAAAGATTAATTGCCATTATACAATATTGAAGATAAATTAGGTAACACATGTTTTGGTGTGAATGGTCATCATCTCTTTGGCAAGTGCTGGGCCGAATGACCTGAGGCTTTGGAGGCCCCCTGACAGACTATGCTGCTTCATGGAAGGGCACTGGCCTGATCCATAATCCAGTCCTGATTGATTCATATGTATTTTCCTAAAGTCTTCCTAGTTTTGTTCTGTTAGAAGAACTTGTGCAATGAATGTGAAAAATTTGAAAAAAAAAAAACTTTTTGGAAGTTAACACACTTCGTTGGAACCTCGTGAGAGCTGTCTCTCCCAATTTTTTGACACTACCATTCAAACGTTTGGGATCAGTACAATTTTTTTTAAGAAACTGGTATTTTATTCAGCCAGGATGTATTAAATTGATCAATAGTGATAGTAAAGACACTTACATTGTTACAAAAGATTTCCATTTTTAATTAATGCTGTTTTTTTAACTTACTCATCAAGAAATATTATGCAGCACAACTGTTTTCATAAAATATATAAAAATAGAAAACAGGTTTTTAAAATCTATATATATATATATCTTTGTTTTTTAATAAATCCTGCCTTGGTGAGAATACAAGTCTTTTTCAGAAACATTTTTAAAAAATCTTACCAACCCCCAAATATTTGAACGGTAGTGTGCATGGCTATAGGAAACAATTAAAATGCTTTGAAACTACCAAACTTACTGAGACATCATATGATATCCATTAAGCATTCACAACTGATAGAAATTAACTGAAATCGCTTTATGGCCTTGAGGTTGCAACTTAAAACATAGTTTGCATTCAACAATTCTGTCAAAGTGAAGGAGTGACGCTCATTCCATTTTGCTGTAATGAACTACACAAACTCTAAAGCACTTCTGGGACTCACGCTAAGCAGGAGCAGTATGAGATGTTAAATGTTTATCATATCACAGTTCAAACTGCATTCACAGTGTGTGCCAGACATTTGCATGAAATTGCCTCTGTTGAATACATTTATATATATAGTCTTTAGTCTATATATTTAAGTGAAATGGATATATTCCTGAATATCGCTATGCTCAATGAGACTTAAAGGTCTGTTTTCATGGCTGTGACCCATCATGTTTCGTGCATCCAAAAATGAAATTGTTGTCATCATATACTCATTACATTCTTTTATCCATGAATCACGATGAAATCAAGAACTAGATTAGTACGATTCGTTTGAATCATTCAGATGGGTTCTGTGAACTGAATCAACTGATTTACTGAAAATATCAATTCAAAAGAACGACTCATTCATGTGACTTTACGAAAATCAAAATAATCAAATATTTTAAATATCAAATTAATATTGCTTATTAAGCACCTTCCATCCACAAATCAGAATCAAACTAAACTATTAATAATAATTTAATATAAATATTAGTTTAATATTAGTTTTGCAAACTGAAAAAAAATCATCTCTTATGAACACACAACATGCATTTTGGAGCTTTACAGCCCCTGTCCTTATTCACAATTATATTGAAAAAGTGCACAAAATATCATTCATAAATTCACTTTTTTGTGTTGCACAGAACTGGTTTGAAGCAAATAATGACAGATTTTTTTATTGCTAGCTGAACTAAACCTTTAAGCTTTCAGCTCTAACCCGCTCTGAAGTCGGTTACCGTCATAAAGCACACATGCAGCCATTCGTTTACCCTCTCTGACCGAATAAACAGCTTGTTCTTAAGAGCATCATGTCACATTCACATCTGTGCTCAATTAAAATCTCAATCACTCGTAATGGTGAGAGGCGTTCAGCTCCAAAAACAGAATCCGGAGATCAGCGAGGTCAAAAATATCAAGAAGGAAGCAGTCTAAGACTATAGTGTATTACTGCTATATGACTCTGCAGTATATACTGTGTACATTTATCAGTCTATCCCTACTGTGCAGAAAGCATTACACAACTATCCCATTCTGAATACAGACAATATGCATTTGGATCGATGGGAGGGTCCTGTCCAAAATCCACTCTCCTCTCCTTCTGCACCCCTCATCTCTTTTATTCTGTCCCTCTGACCTCTCTTCGTTCTGCCTGACTGACCCTCCTGATTTAATGACCTCGCACAGACGGGACACTCAGATAGAACGAATGAGAGCCAAAAGCTAAAACAAGCGGAGTGGGATTCATTGCTGCTTACAGATCAGAATTCTCCCATTTTATCCCTCAGATTCATCTTTTATTTTCATCATCTGTTCGTCCTCTCTCCTGTAGCTTTAGTGTCACTGTATCTGCAATTTATTCCTCTCTCCTTCTCCGATACAGCCATTCATTTCAGCCTGCCACTCAAAATACCTGTCCCATCCTCAGCCTTCATTTCAAATGATCATTCCTCTCTCCCTCTCTCTTCCTCTGTGCTCGTTTTCAGAGTGGATTTGAAAGGAGTGACAGACATGCCGAGTGAGAAAGCGTGGCAGAGGAGCCAGCAGATTCTATATCAAACAGAAACACTTGTGCGTGCACACAAACACACCTCCACCGAGCATTCATCATTTTTTGTTATTTCAACAAAGCTAATGTAACCAAAGTCCTGATGATGTCACTCAGATGTATAAACTGACATTCAGTCCTCACAAACTCATCAAGTATTCAGAGCAGCCCTTCATAACACTTCTTCAACCCAAATCATTTTCACATGGTTTTATAACCATAAAATATAAAAATGACAATGGCTGTGTTCCAAAACTTAGTGAGCTGTCTTGCTGGCTGCCTACATCTGCCTTGTACGCATCTGAACTGGAATTGAACATGAACTCATGAGAGACTGCTCTGATGCAACCAGCCATACAAATAGCACTTCTCACATGCTCAAAATTTAGTTCATTTGATTTCAGAATTGAGTTTGGAGTTAGCAAATTGCAAAGCTAATGACACAATATTTTCATAACCATAAAAATATTACACACAAAAAAGTCAATTTTGTATTTTGAATTTCTTAATAGATATAACAAAAGTTAGATTAAGATTAGATTTTTTTTGCATGTATACAGTTTATGTGTAAATTCTTATATAATTTTGTGATGCTTTATAATTGTATTTATAATATAAATAAATATAAAATGTATATATACATATATATATACTATAGTTGTATAATTAATAATAATAATATGCCATCCTATTCGGTAAGCTTCACTGGCACATTGTAGGACTGCCTTCTTAGCACAGGATGCATGCAATGTTGCCCTAAAAAGCCCATAAAAAAGAATGGGATGCCCTCATATCTTGAGCTATGCTGAAAAAAATTCAGTTCACAACTTTTGGAACAGAGCTCAAGCCTTCTGTCTTAAAGTTGTTCCAATGTTCCCAAACTGATCAACAGTTGAGAGACAAGCCCTAAAACTGGAGAACTGGAGAACTTTCTTTGTAATCAATAAGTTCAGTGAGTTCACCAGAACTTGGCGCCAAATGGACCAAAAGGTGAGCAAGCTCAAATGTACAGAGGCAGAGCTTTCAATCAATCTTAGTTTTAGCTCAAAGCAACTTATAACTCTGTATGTCAATTAAGGTAAAAGATGACAACTATAGCCACTTCAGAGCATGAAGGACAAACAAATAAGCAAACTTGAGTGGATCCCTCTAGGGCACTTATGCATGCACAGGTGATCAGATCTGCTTTCCAGCTGGAAGTGCACTAGCATGCTGATAACATGCATCACCAATTACCTCCTGCCATCACATAACATTATAAACTCTTAATGTCACTAATGGCATGCCAGCCATTCCTCTTTCATCAGTGTCACCATCAGTCATAATAACGCATTAAATGTGGTTATCAGCTGACACGCTGTTTTATTTGGTTCTTCAATAAGTTTCCGGGAGTGAAACCCCTCACGCTCTTCATGGCGACCCGCTAGTTCACGCTCATGAGCTCGCATGATACATGAATAAATAAAGACGCGCAGCAGGCGCGCACAGCGCTACCCGATACGCGCGACACTCACCCAAAACTAAAAACAGTCACAGGTTAAAAAACACACTAACCATCAAAAGCTAATAAAACATTGAAACATTTCAGACACAAGACACACAAACTGAACTGCCAACTAAAAGCGTGTAGCCTATTTAGATTAGTTGCATCACTGTGTAATTTTCTGCCATGTCTAGGTGATACTGAAGTAACGTTATCAATAAAAGTAGAGGTTGTATAGACTTGCCAGCAGTTTTTCGGAGTAAGTCAGAGATCTTACCTGCTGCCTCCTCCTGATCAGTCCGGCCCGAGCGTTCTTGACACCGACACCGAGCGACCGAGCGACCGCTGATCTGCTGCTGAGAGTGCTGGTGCTCCGCGCTCAGCCTCTCTCTCTCTCTCTCTCTCTCTCTCTCTCTCTCTCTC